ATCAAAGTTGGATCAGCCTGTAGTGTGTTTTTCCACTTTAATTTTGTGCGTGACTCCAAATCCAGGCCTCCATTGGTTAATAAATTTAATTTCCTTTGATTTTTGTGTGATTTTGTCATCAGCACATTCAACTTTGTACAGAACAAAGTATTCAATGAGAATATTTCACTCATTCAGATCTAAGATGTGTTATTTGAGTCTTCCCTTTTTTGAACAGTGTATATACTATGTACACATGCCATTTAAGCACTTGTTTTTATTTTGTTGCTGTTGATTCAGTTTGTTCCCGTTGTTACTTTTGGGTGAATTTTAATAAGATGAAATTTTTCCTAAAGCGTTAACGCTCTGGTTGTCTGCAGACAAGTCCATCTATATGTGGAGATCATTTTCAATGGAGGTATAATCAAAATGAAATTATGTTGTAGATTTCCAGGTTTCTTTCAAGAGTGTTACTGTTTTACTTGCTTCAGCAGTCCATTTTCTACATGGCCTAAAAATATATGTGATTATTTAAATAAGCTTGCAGATATGGGTTTTGCTATCCTTTCAAATCTTCTCAAACCAAAAAAATTAAGCCCATTTTTCTTTTGTTAACATCTATTCAGAAATGGTACATGGTCAGTGTATTCTAAAGGTAAACTCAGAAAATCAATGAAAGCTACGTCTGACCCTGGAGCTAATACATCGCAAAATCCATGTAGCTTACTGTTGTTAAAGAAAGGTATTCTGAACAGAAACTTGAAGTTGCTTCCAGATTTTCAGCCTGTAGTGTATGTTAGCTTATGTTTAGACCCATGAGAAAGAAAAGAAAAGTTAAGTTGTTTCTCCAAAGCTTAACGCATTTTGTTGAAGCTCTTGAATGGAAGCTGGAAGTCCAAACTTTTAATAAACCTTGAATGCTTAATCTCAGATCCATTGTTACTGAGGTCCAGATAGATGTGAACCTGACTGTAAATGAGCACAAGTGTTAGAAACTAGATCATTAGTTTATAAAATGACATGGGACTATTCTGTGAAAACAGAAATGCCTGTATCCACATTAGCGACAGCTTGGTGTAATTAGTAGTGGATAAATTGGGGGCCTAAACTAAACTCCTGTACATGTTTCCAGTGTTAAGATGCTATGTGGGAGGTTTCCCATCTGACTGTCAAATCTATTTACTTTGGTTGCGCTTTAAAGTTCAAGCAATAACTGAGCATCATCTGAGGATTCGGTATCTCTAACGGTTCATGTGAAATTGGTGGTGTGCTTTAAACCAAATTATTAAGTGTTTATCTGAAGCCTTTGCAAATTATGTGTTATTTAAAATCTGACACATAGCATCTTTTGTTACAGGGGTATGTGGTGTACGGTCAAGATCAGACCATATTTACCAAAAGCAAAAACACATTTTCTCCTGTAAAAGTTGTAAGAATTTTTCACCAGTTTAGAAAGTTTCTGTACCAAAATATCCTCAATAAAGGCAATAAATCTCTAACAAAACAACATAGAGGCAAATAAGAGAATATGCCATGCAATATTCTGGTTCTGTCTATGCAGTCTCCACAATTCAAGATTGTATGGCCCACTATAGACTTCATGCTTTGGTGAAATAAGGTCTGACTCTTACTTTTCATGGAAAATAAGATAGAGGGATGTAAATAAAGGAATGTATTGAAAGACTTTAACATCTGACTCATTTGTTTTGAACAAAGAACAGATCTGTTATGTTGTCGGTCAGTCATGATTAAATATGAAATGTTTCCTGTATCATCTTAACAAATCAGAAAGATCTGTCAAATAATACAAAAAGACAGGAAAAGCTAAAGTCTTGTGTGTAGCTCTTTACTTGACCTGATGCATGCTGCCATGCTTTTTTAATCGACTGCACCTCCGTGCCTCTTGTCCAATGACTAATGGAAATGCGACCCTGCAAAGATAAGCTTGTATAGATGATGGATGGATAATAGGCACCTTTAGTCAAATCTAACTGTGCCCTGGTAGCTGCAGTTTTATTTCAGCCTTTCCAAACCTGTGTATAAGTCTGCCGTGGAAACGTCAGGAAATAGTTTTATTTAACATAATTGTACCTAGGTACATTAAACATGGAAACATGTTAAAAATATATACCTGGCATAAAATGTGCCTTCTCTTGCAGTCATTAAAAATTCAAGAAAAAGACATGTTGAATGCAGAGGTTATAAAAAAAAAAAAAGAGGTGGTATACAAAACCCCATTATAGCAGTAAAACACAGATTTAGATAAAATCTGTAGATTAAGGTAGGGAAAAAAAGACAGACATTTAGTAAAACACAGTTTTGGTTTTTAGTAAAAAACAGTTATTTGCAGCAAACTGAAAATTACATTTAAAATTATAATTACTGTTCTGTATGAAAATTTTGTTAGCTGTTAGATTAAAGATTTTACAGCTGAAGATAAAGTAGATATGACAAGGAGGGTTGTGAGATATTATAGCAGGTTGATAATATAAAAAGTGTTTAAACAAGAGTGAAAATTAAACTGTGGCAGCAGGATGGGTGAACAGAGGTGTTAATGAGCTCAGGTTGGATACAACTAAAGAGTAAAACATAGATGACATGCCAACTAATGCAGGCTTAATTTAAAAGCCTCCTGGATACAGGTGAAAGTGGGTGACGGGTGTAGGCAGGCAGTGGTAAATGTAATTTACCAAAATGACGAAAGAGTAAAAACACACAGAGCCACTCAGGAGGATAATGGTCAGCGGAAAAAACAGTTCACTTTTAGTTTTTTAAAGAAAATAGAAACTGTAAAATTTGTCTTAAAAAATACTTAACAAAAATTTATTTAAAATAGCAACAAAACAATATCACTGATCAGATAGGACTTCACAAACACTTTACTACCCTGACCACACACACATCCACACAGGCATAAAGGTTGTGTGATCATCAGTTTGAATATGTCCGAATGCTGGGATTATCCTGGGAAGCGTTTCTTTCGGACACAATCTGAGCTCACACACTGACAGAGAAACACCTACAGCACACACACAAGGCCACTCATGAAGATGGAATCTACATATTACACAACAGAATGGGGCCCCCAGGGGCCTCCCTCCTCTGGGTTCTTCACTCGCTGCTACAGGATGAAATAACAGGCTACAGATAAAACCCAAACCATTTGTGTCCCATTATGTGAATGAAAAAAAAGCAACGTCTGAAGAGTTTACTGACCTGCGTTATCGAAATAAGCCTGGTTTTTTGTTGTGATCTATGCGGACTTCCTTTGTTGTCTCTTTTCACCTTTTTTAATATACATACATTTATAATTTTGAACAATTAATTATTTTTCTGATACCCCTCTGGTATAGTTAAACAACTTTTCTTGACTTTTTGAGATTGTTTCATTATAAACACTGATGCATCCTATACAAGCTTTGTGCACTGGTGAGAACCCACGCATGCACAGGGAGAACATGCAAACTCCATGCAGAAAGACCCTGGCCAGGGAATTGAACCCAGAACCTTCTGGCTGCAAGGCAACAGTGCTACCAACTGCACCATCGTGCAATTAGTAAACAACTAATATATAAATTATGTATAATTGTCATGAATGTCAGGACATGGCTGTTGGGTGTGCATGGTTGTTTGTCCTGTTTATCCTGTATGCCCTGCGATGGATTGGTGACCCTGTCCAGGGTGTACCCTGCCTCTCGCCCGTAGACTGCTGGAGATAGGCACCAGCTCCCCCGTGACCAACTATGGAATAAGCGGTATAGAAGATGAAAGAATGTCATGAATGACCAAATCTAAGTGTGTGTGGGAATATGTGCTAAATGCATCAAAGACAAAGGACCTGTTGGACAAATGCAGCTGTTGTAACAAGATTACTGTGGTGGCTAAACAAAATATTTCATTACAAGATGGTGAATCTTTGAGACCCAAATGTTCCATGCACTTCTGTATGAAATGGTGTTTCACCCCATGTGGTGCAAAGGATAAAAGATCTTTGAAAAAAATGGGACATTTAAATGACCTTTGAGGTAAAAGAGAGAGAAGGTTGATGTGTGGATGGTGTGCCAAGTAAAACAGAACACAACTTAATAAAAAAGATACAAAACATTAAAATAAATCATATTAAAAACTTTTGAACTTGAGTTCTTTTTGTGTCTCATTCATATACTTTGTGCTTATACTACATTATGCCCATTTTAATGGTAAATGGACTGAATTTTATTCCAGTCATTTTTACCACTCAATGGCTTTATACTAGATCCACATTCACATACAATACGCAGATCGGTAGGCAACGTGAAATTAAGTGCCTTGCTCAGGGGCACATCAGCATGTAACAGGAGGAAGCTAGAATCCACCCTACAACTTTCGGACTACCCTTTTAACTGAGCCACTTTCATTAGTTTCTTAGTAATCAGAATCTGGAGGAAGCAGCTCTCTGCTGGTCAAGGAGCTGGCAACTCTCCTTGTCTGGTTGCTTCCCACAGATGGTTGTCATTAATGAAGATATCTGGCCGCAGCTTGTCCTAGAAGAGTCAACCTCCGGGTTGACTTGGTCTGGTTCCTCTGTCTCCCAAACAAGCTCAATGCTGAAGTCATCTGGCTGCAGAGGGAACAGCTTCCAGGGTTGTGCTGGTGGTAGTAAAACAGAGACAGATGGCTGCAGTTCTGCAGGTCAGTGAGCCATTTCCTAGGAACCTAGAGACGTGAAATAGCTTCTTAGGATGCAGTGTATCTTGGCTCAATGATATGTATGCTCTTATAGAGTTCTTTATTTGTTGGATGTTATTACATGGTTTTACATATCCTTAAAAACGAAGTCCAGATCTTCCTGAGAGTGCCAAGCTTTCCAGGGTGTATATGATTAATGTCACACCTCTTTTATATATTATTGAAATACACTACACTGAGCTTTGTTGACCGCATATTGTAGATTAAATTCAGTAGCCATTAATTCAGTTTTTAATGAAGAGATAATAAAGAGATCACATCATTCTATAAAACAACCTTTGAACCAATTACATCATTAAACCTGTGCATGTGAAAATAAAGCAATGCAACATAGTAAAAATATACATAGTATTTTTCATTGTGGATGTGATATGTTAAATTTAGGCCTAGAAAATGCAATTTGAACTGTTGTAATCTGAGGTTTAAGAGTAGAATTGCAAGAGCTAAAACGTATTTTTAAAAATGGGTTGGGATCTAAAATTTCAAGGGTAACTCTGTACTACTCTTTAATCTAAGCTATAGATATTTAAACTTTTAATGTATTTTCACTTTTTCATCAGTCCTTAGTCCATCTTAGTGTCTGCCAGACAACGGCTTATCTATCTCCTGGCGACATTCGTCCATCCTTATTTTCAGGTCAGCTGTCAGGGAGTTATCATCACCGTGAGTGATCCTCATGATTATAAAGGCCTGGAGGAAGAAGAAATAATGATGCTCATGATATTTATATTTAGTAAATGCAATGGCACAAAAACATTACAAATTTACAAAGAAATTATGAGATAAATACTTTAGAGCATGATGGTCTTAGCAAATGATTTGTTTTAAACATGTTAAAAATGATAGAAGATATGAAAAACTCTTTAAACATACAAAGCAGAATCTAATAACAGAATTTTGTACCGTCAGAATTTCTTTCTTTCTTTCTTGTACCTCTTTAAATGTGTCCAAAGCATCCTCGATGTGCTCCAGGTAATGCTGCAGCTTTCCTACTCTCATCAGCTGAACTCCATGAACTGGATGTGGATCAGGGTAGTACAATCTATAGCAAAAAACAACGACAGAAAAGACAATATAACTTAAAGTGAAAACAGTTCGGTTTTCTTTATATTCGTGTATTTTTCATTATTTTCTGTCTCTAATGATTAGAGATGCTTGTGCTTCATTGGAATTGCAAGTCTGACTGGCCCAAATCATCAGTGCTGTCCACCAGAAATCTCCTCTACAGAGTTAGATCTGAGTCTACTGGCTGTGAAGCTTGGGGAAAAATTGTTTCAGGGAAAAGGATCCCAAACACAGCAAGTGTGTTCAATGTACACAAATAAATGACTAAATCTTTACTGTATTTAAGCTATGTTACAGTCACATATTCTGTCCAGTTGATTAATAAAGTCACCCAGAAGATATTTATATATTTATTGTTAAAGCTTCTTCTACAACCTTCTGAATAAATATGTTTATCTGGTTTTTCAGGTTTCTATTCAGTTTTGTTAAATAAAAGACAAGTGTAATGTCTGGTTCCTAATCGGGGGTTGTATTTAGCAGGGCTGCATAATTTTAGAAATATATTTAATTTAATTTATAATTTAAAATTGCAACAACTGTATCGATTACAATTAAAACACATTTAAGTAATTTTTCTTTAGAACACAATGGCCCTACCTCTTTAGAGAACTCTAGTATTTCAGCCAAAGAAAATATGCCTCGGAAGTGAACATTTAGCTCTGTTGGAGTCCATCCTATTGGCCAAATAGATTATTGTATTGCAGAGTGTGAATGTCTGACAATTCAATAATAATATCACACCAACTTTTGCATTAAAGCAGTCCATTGAAATTGAGGCTTTGCAGACACTAATATTGCGATATTGTGATTTGATAAATTGCGCAGCTCTGGTATTTAGCTGCTTTAATGGCAATGCTAAGGATCAGATGATTCTTTTTTTGTGTAACATGTTGTGCTATGTAAAGCAGTAAACTGAAGAAAATTCAGACACCATGTGTTCTACTCTCAATATTTTTTTTAAATAAACGTTTTTTTCCTCTCTTTGGAAAAATGGAGGAAAGTGCCTATTCTGAAACTTCCATGAAAATGCCGAAAACCTCATGATATGCCAGAGGGTGGTTGTAACGTAATCTTTATAAAGCTAAAATGAAAAGAACATCCTGGACTCGGCAACCATTTCGTACCCATGCACATTTGCAAATGTTTTGATTTCCACCTACTAAAATGTTTGCATATAAGCCTCCAGGTAGTTAACTTAATAAGTGAATTCTGGATTATTGAGAGAAATGGTCATAAAAAACTGTTAGCTAAAAACTGTTAGCTGTTATTTATAATCTATTTATTGTATGGCATAAGAGAACATGCGTAAAGTTTTAGCTTTGGGACAAGTGGATCTACCAAATGGACAGCGGCCCTAAGCATACAGGCAAATTAGGTACATAGCGCCTTAAGGACAGCAAAATCAATGTTCTGTAGTTTGCATCACAAAGCCCTGACCTCAGTCCTAAAGACAATTTGTGGGCAGAACTGAAAGGGTTACAAAGGTGGCTTGCAAACCTAACTCAATTACAGCAGTTCTGTCAGGAGGAATGGGCCAAAATTGCAGCAAACTACCGTGAAAAGCTTGTGGAAGGAAACCTAAAATGTTCGACCCATGTTGTGTAGTCTAAAAGGCAAAAGGCTGCTAAACACTTAAAATTAAGTAAATACATGCTGTCTTCTTTGAAGAAGGTAATGAAAAATGTCATTAGTCTTCTCTTTTAGAAATTGATCCTGACTGATCTAAAACAGGAAACATTTAGTCTGATTTAATATCAGACAATAAGGAAAAAAGATTAAGTCTTTTTTTTCCTCAATCGTTTTCCTTCATCACAATGTCTCCCCCATTTTCAGAGCATTAGCATCACAGCCTGTATGAGATGTGAGCATCAAGGACATTAAAAGTAAAACGACCGACCTTTGAGTCCTTTGTGATATTGTAAAAATTGCCATTGTGATAGATGTAAACATCTTATTTCAATTGTACATATATTCATTTTTTTATTATTTGTATTCATGTGGACAAGAGCTTAACCTAATCATCACCATACATTATTATAAAACAATACAATTAGTCGCTCTGCAAGTCGCCATCCACACATTAAATAACAGTTATCACTAACTGGAATCAAACATCTGAGATATTAAATCTTAGACTGATGCAACCAAGACTGACAGTAGTTTGCTTTTAGACTTAAAGACAAACCTCCTCTTCCAGAACAACAGTTTTTCTTGTAAAATACTAGCTCACAAATCTTTCCCCACAAGTCATAATGGCTTCATAAAATGAATTCTCTCGCTCTAACCTGTGTGCTTGTGGTCTTTAGAGAACACCTCACCAAATGATAGACAATATTCCTACAAGTATTTTCATTCAATCAGATCTGAGGTAGCGCTCTCCAGTTCTCCCCATTCGCCCACATTAAAAAGGCCAATTTGTCTAAAGAGGAATGCTGAAAATAGCCACTTCTAAACCACAGCTGTGTCAGTCTGTATCGACAGCCAGCCTCAAGTATCGGTCAGAGGAACCTCATCTTTGTGTTGCTTCTAGGATTGCTGCAATTTGAATAAATCCAAGGAACTATTTGTAAATAGCATTCCATGTTGGTTTTTAAAAACTCACTCTTTCTACTAATCTAACCTAAACCCTTTTCCTAAACCAAATGTCTTTTTCTCTGCTTCTACATGTTTATATTTGTTCTTTTTTCCTGGTGGCTCCAGGGATTAAAGATCCCCCTTTTCTGCAAGTCTCATTTTGTCCCTTTGCTCTTTTTT